ATCTTTCGCAACTTGTTTTAGGGTGTTTTGCATTTATACCCTGCCACTTGGTGCCATCTTACGTCATCACAAACTTGATTACCACATGTACGCTGATGGTACTCAGATCTATACCTGCTGTGACATACAAATTCCTGTATACTTGCACAGAATCTACAACTTGAATTACCAGTAGGCACCAGTGTTGTGAACTCCGTCATAGCCGTTCCCAAGCCTGGCTGAGCAAGGAGGAGGGTTGGGCGTCGGGCCAGCAACCCGACCCTGTTAAAACTCAACCGCTACAGAAACGGCAAACAATACACCGACTAATAACCGGCGCAAGGAAGATGACAGGGGACCTTTGGATCGCCGTATGACGGTCAGGGAACAAAGCCGAAAGGAAGTCCATGGCCTGACGAGTCAGATTCTTAGTGCCAAAACCTCGACCAAAATTGGAACCTGGGACGTACGTACACCGTATCAGTGTGGAAACTTGTCTCAAGTCATCAAGGAGGCAGAGAATTATGGATTGGCCATTTTGGGCATCAGTGAAATGCGTTTGACTGGAAATGGGGAAATGAACAGTGATGACAGAACACTGATCTATTCGGGACAAGAAGAACACCACCAATCTGTGGTAGGAATGATCATCAGTAAAGAAGCTGCACAGTGTCTTCTTGGATGGGAACCCGTTAACGATAGGATCTTAACAGCCAGATTTCAGAGTCGCCATGCAAAAGTCACCATCATCCAAGTGTATGCACCAACTGAAGACAGTAGAGAAAAAGACAAGGATAGTCTAGTGGGATTTCCACAAAATATGAATAATAGGGGCATTTTGGGGTAAAAGTTGGGAACCAGGCTTATTAGCATAATTTTGGCATGCTGAATCCGATTAACCCGGTTCCTAAGCGATTTTTTTTTAGTTTTTAACTGTCTACGCCATACCAAATGTCACCGTTCGCCCTTTTAAATACCAACATTTATCAGGGGGTCTTCAACAGGCCCCTAACCCCATGCAAAGTGGGGGGATCGGCTTTGCGTCCACGAACCCCCCCTCCCTCCCCCCTTTAAATAATCCTGGATCCGCCTCAGCTCATCTTGTCTTTTAATTGATGGGCAACCACTGGCAATTCCAAAGCCTGACAATGCAGTGACCTTTTGTAGTTTGACTGACACATACGTGATCTTGAGCAGTTCTGAAGGCAGGTTCATTCAGCAGATTGACTTGTGTTTGACAGACACAGGGAAGAAACAATAAAAGGTGCTACTCGGACACGACGCACAAAGTCAGTGCTACGGTCCCATCAGACAAGACACCCAATATATCACATTTCCTGAACCTGAGAACATACAGGTAAATACATAAAACAATCAATATCATATTGACCGCCAGTAAAAAAAAAATCTGAATAATTACCGTTGGGTCCGTCGTAGACCGTCTTGCCTAGGGTGCTCTTGTAGTCCCCCTTGTGCTGCAGGTTGTAGGGGTTCCAGGACTGTAGGGGGGTGAGGTAAACGATCTCCAGGGGGATGGCGTACGTCCACTTCTGGTGGAACGTTTTACACACTATAATAATAATAATAATAATAATAATAATAATATAATAGTAAACGATCTCCAATGGGATGGCGTACGTCCACTTCTGGTGGAACGTTTTACACACTATAATAATAATAATAATAATAATAATAATAATAATAATAATAATAATAGTAAACGATCTTCAGTGGGATGGCGTACGTCGATTTCTGGCGGAATGTTTTACACACTATATTAATAATAATAATAATAATAATAATAATAATAACAATAATAATAGTAAACTATCTTCAGTGGGATGGCGTACGTCGACTTCTGGCGGAATGTTTTACAGTATAACACAATATAAAAATAATAATAATACTTTGAAGTTGTACTAGTGTCCCGTACGAACTGTGATGCAGGGTCCAGATTCCATTGATTTTAAAAACTGACTTGCACAGGTAATCCCTGTCCTTGATACTGACCAGCTTAAGTCACGTTAACATTACCTACATGAATTTAATAGAGGGCGGCCTCGGACTCCTAGTTCCCTAACACTGCATGGTGTTTCTCGAGTATGAGTGTCGTAAAATTTTGTTTGGACTCAGTGATTATCGAGGAGACGCTGGGTTATGAGACTTTTAAGTAGTCAAATTAAAGAGACTTTTAAAAGGCAATTTAGCCACTGTCCTCCTCAGCTTGAGGCAAGCATGACAAAAAGTAATGTTATAATCTTACCCTTTCTGTGGCAGTGAGTGTAGGATAGGCCAGCAACATTGGGCTGCGTGGTTTGTGCCATGAATACGTTGTTATCAGAAAACCCGCGGTGACGACGGTTGATACCCATTGCTCCCTAAAATTAAACGAAATAAACTGAATAAATTGTCAGTAGATGATTTGTTTTTTATTTTATATGGATTACTTTTCATGTATTTTTATACAGAGATCCCATCACTTTTAAAAGGCTAAATGCTTGATCGGAAAAACAAGGTTCGCAGTTGTTTGGATAATCAATTCGGGAGAGAGAAAGTACAGGTACGTGTGTGTGTGTGTGTGTGTGTGTGTGTGTGTGTGTGTATGTATGTGTGTGTGTGTGTGTGTGGAGAGAGAGAAAGGGACGTTGGTACGCGTGTTTGTGTGAGTGTGTGAGAGAGAGAGAGAGACAGAGAGAGAAAGAGAGAGAAAATGAGAGAGATTCACAACCTCCTTCAGTGAGTTGAACCACCGGTGGTAGTAAGCAGTGTTGACAGGTTTGTCCTCATTAAGAGACCAAGCCGTGTCGTCATCTAAGGTATCATTCAAGACCCCTTTATAGTTATCCCAGCCTGGAAATGAAACAATGACAAATATAAACCTTGAGGGCGTTGACTTAATCTCGCCAACATGATAAACTAAGGTGAGCTGTAGGTGGACCAATAATATGACAACACAAATTTGTTTACCGAAAAAAATTAAAGATCTNGTTATGCCAAGAAAAGTTTGACAAGCGACAAAAAGTGATGTTTCTACCTCTATGAAAAAATAAAACACAGACAAGACTTCAATGTGAGAACTCCACTACATTATATGTTTTACCAAATGAATCCACAACCTAAGAAATAAAGATTTTACCTAAATCTAATCACCCACATTGTAAACACTTGTTTCTTAAATGGAAATTTCCCGGATGTGCTGAAATCTAGAATTGTTCGACATTTACTAAAAAAAAACAACCTTGATCCGCATCTTATGCTGAACTATAGACCTATATCAATCCTTTCATTCCTTTCTAAGGTGATTGAAAGAGTAGTTGCTGTGAGATTGTTCGACCACTTGAACAGTAACAAACTTGCTGAGGAAATGCAATCTGCTTATAAGGCAAAACACAGCACAGAGTCAGCTCTCCTGAGGATTAAAAATGATCTACTCATAAGCATTGACAACAACTCTAAATCTGCTATGCTACTTGTATTACTAGACCTTTCAGCCGCCTTCGATACCGTTGATCAATGTACATTATTAACTTTTCTTGAGGATAGTGTTGGTGTCAAAGATGAAGCCATTGCGTTTCTTCGATCATACCTCAGATGGGAGGTCACAGCAAATTTCAGTAAATGGCATACTTTCCGATCTTTCGCAACTTGTTTTAGGGTGTTTTGCATTTATACCCTGCCACTTGGTGCCATCTTACGTCATCACAAACTTGATTACCACATGTACGCTGATGGTACTCAGATCTATACCTGCTGTGACATACAAATTCCTGTATACTTGCACAAAATCTACAACTTGAATTACCAGTAGGCACCAGTGTTGTGAACTCCGTCATAGCCGTTCCCAAGCCTGGCCTGGGCAAGGAGGAGGGTTGGGCGTCGGGCCAGCAACCCGACCCTGTTAAAACTCAACCGCTACAGAAACGGCAAACAATACACCAACTAATAACCGGCGCAAGGAAGATGACAGGGGACCTTTGGATCGCCGTATGACGGTCAGGGAACAAAGCCGAAAGGAAGTCCATGGCCTGACGAGTCAGATTCTCAGTGCCAAAACCTCGACTAAAATTGGAACCTGGAACGTACGTACACCGTATCAGTGTGTAAACTTGTCTCAAGTCATCAAGGAGGCAGATAATTATGGATTGGCCATTTTGGGCATCAGTGAAATGCGTTGGACTGGAAATGGGGAAATGAACAGTGATGACAGAACACTGATCTATTCGGGACAAGAAGAACACTACCAATCTGGAGTAGGAATGATAATCAGCAAAGAAGCTGCACAGTGTCTTCTTGGATGGGAACCCGTTAACGATAGGATCTTAACAGCCAGATTCCAGAGTCGCTACCATCCAAGTGTATGCACCAACTGAAGACAGTAGAGAAAAAGACAAGGATAGTCTAGTGGGATTTCCACAAAATATGAAGAGTAGGGGCATTTTGGGGTAAAAGTTGGGAATCCGGCTTATTAGCATAATTTTGGCATGCTGAATCCGATTAAACCGGTTCCCAAGCGATTTTTTTTAGTTTTTAACTGTCTACGCCATACCAATGTCACCGTTCGCCCTTTTAAATACCAACATTTATCGGGGGGGCCTTCAACAGGCCCCTAACCCCATGCCAAGTGGTGGATCGGCTTTGCGTCCACGGACCCCCCCCCCCTTCTTAATTAATCCTGGATCCGCCTCAGCTCACCTTGTCTTATAACTGATGGGCAACCACTGGCAATTCCAAAGCCTGACAATGCAGTGACCTTTGGTAGTTTGGTTGACACATACGTAATCTTCAGCAGTTCTGAGGGCAGGTTCTATCAGCAGTCTGACTTGTGTTTGACAGATACAGGGAAGAAACAATAAAAGGTCCTACTCGGACATGACGCACAAAGTCAGTGCTACCCAACAGACAAGACATCTGATTTATCACATTCCCTGACCCTGAGAACATACAGGTAAATACATAAAACAAATAGATGAAGTTACCATCAATATCATATTGACCGCCAGTAAAAAAATCGGAATAATTACCGTTGGGTCCGTCGTAGACCGTCTTGCCAAGTGTGCTCTTGTAGTCCCCCTTGTGCTGCAGGTTGTAGGGGTTCCAGGACTGTAGGGGGGTGAGGTAAACGATCTCCAGGGGGATGGCGTACGTCCACTTCTGGTGGAACGTTTTACACACTATAATAATAATAATAATATAATAGTAAACGATCTCCAATGGGATGGCGTACATCCACTTCTGGTGGAACGTTTTACACACTATAATAATAATAATAATAATAATAATAATAATAATAGTAAACGATCTTCAGTGGGATGGCGTACGTCGACTTCTGGCGGAATGTTTTACAGTATAACACAATATAAAAATAATAATAATACTTTGAAGTTGTACTAGTGTCCCGTACGAACTGTGATGCTGGGTCCAGATTCCATTGATTTTAAAAACTGGCTTGCACAGGTAATCCCTGTCCTTGATACTGACCAGCTTAAGTCACGTTAACATTACCTACATGAATTTAATAGAGGGCGGCCTCGGACTCCTAGTTCCCTAACACTGCATGGTGTTTCTCTAGTATGAGTGTCGTAAAATTTTTTTTTGACTCAGTGATTATCGAGGAGACGCTGGGTTATGAGACTTTTAAGTAGTCAAATTTAAGAGACTTTTAAAAGGCAATTTAGCCTCTGTCCCCCTCAGCTTGAGGCAAGCATGACAAAAAGTAATGTTATAATCTTACCCTTTCTGTGGCAGTGAGTGTAGGATAGGCCAGCAACATTGGGCTGCGTGGTTTGTGCCATGAATACGTTGTTATCAGAAAACCCGCGGTGACGACGGTTGATACCCATTGCTCCCTAAAATTAAACGAAATAAACTGAATAAATTGTCAGTAGATGATTTGTTTTTTATTTTATATGGATTACTTTCCATGTATTTTTATACAGAGATCCCATCACTTTTAAAAGGCTAAATGCTTGATCGGAAAAACAAGGTTCGCAGTTGTTTGGATAATCAATTCGGGAGAGAGAAAGTACAGGTACGTGTGTGTGTGTGTGTATGTATGTGTGTGTGTGTGTGGAGAGAGAGAAAGGGACGTTGGTACGCGTGTTTGTGTGAGTGTGTGAGAGAGAGAGAGACAGAGAGAGAAAGAGAGAGAAAATGAGAGAGATTCACAACCTCCTTCAGTGAGTTGAACCACCGGTGGTAGTAAGCAGTGTTGACAGGTTTGTCCTCATTAAGAGACCAAGCCGTGTCGTCATCTAAGGTATCATTCAAGACCCCTTTATAGTTATCCCAGCCTGGAAATGAAACAATGACAAATATAAACCTTGAGGGCGTTGACTTAATCTCGCCAACATGATAAACTAAGGTGAGCTGTAGGTGGACCAATAATATGACAACAAAAATTTGTTTACCGAAAAAAATTAAAGATCCAAGTCAACCATGGGTTTTGGTAACAGAAACATTTTTATTGGAATATAAAAGAAAGTTACCTGGTATTTCCTCCATTAAAGAATCTAAGAAATCAGGAGATTGCGAGAATTCTGACGACCCCCACGCGTCCAATACCAAACTAGGATTTAACTGAAATCTACATAGAGGAAGGATGAAACCGTAAACTGATAACTGCATTCATATATACATTTCTACCCATTTTGTGTGTTTTAATTTTTTCATCAAACAGCATTTTTACAATGCACATGAATGTTACGAAAATATTATACAACTAGTTGCTCTTCAATCTGAACTATTTACGCACAAACAAATATGTAAATTATTAGTACTGCATTTTGCATAATTCTGTTTCTCTTAATTGGAATTATATTCTAAAATAGTGACAACACACGTGGTCAATAGTTGTATGGGTGTTCAGAATTGTTTGCAAATAAGATTTAACCTTAAAGATTAGATGTACGGTTCGACTAACGGTACCTGGCTCTACGGGTTCCCCTTTGCTTTTCCATGGTGGCACCACGTGCCACCCGGTTGTGTAAGTCATCGACCAATCGGAAACGACTGAATGGGATATCCTTACTCAGTGGGTGACACAGGATTCTACAAAGAAATTACAAAGAGCATACAATTTTACTGTATGTACCCGCATGGGTGGAACAAACATTCTCCTTAACCTACGTAAATTTCAATTTGTTACCGGTAACATTACTGTTTACCTAATATCAAGTTGAGTAACCTGTAATTCCAGCAATATGCTATTAAAATACAAGTTCACAGTGGATTATCGTAAAATGATAATTGAAATGTAGAGAAGAACAAACAGAGCGCTACGTCCGCTCACCCTTTCGTTCTGTTACGTGATTTCACTGTGTTACCTGCAGTTTCACCTTGTAATATGCAATTTGATTGCGTTACCGGTAATCCCATTGTGTTACCTGTGATTCCATTATGTTACCTGTAACTATATTGTTTCACCTGTAATTCCACTGCGCCAGTCTGGGCACGGAACCGTTAATCATCTCCATAATGGTGGTTGGAAGGTAAGCGAAGTTCTCAAGGTTACTCTTACGCCCCGCGTAGGACGTGAATCTCGTCTTCTCGTGGAGATCAAACCAGCTGGCGGCGTCAATAAAGTGACGGTCACTTTCAAACGACTCTTCTAAAGAACCTAGTAAAAAAATGGAATAATTGACTCAATTAATTGAATTAATGTCGCTATCAAACTACTCTTTAAAAAACATAAAAAATATTAACCATTGAATTGGTTTGCAAAATGGTCAGAATCTTTTGAATAAATAATAATAATGAGATTTTGTAACATTGCTTTAAAAAAGCGAAAATGTGGAAACTTAAATAGCTAAATTAGAAGTGGACTCAATAGCTACTTTATAAATATGGCAAATACGTGTCAACAGTTACACTACAGCCAAGTATTAAACTCAACTTCGAACTTCGTAGTAGAGAAGGCGAAACAGGGAGATGACATTACACCAGGTCAAGTAAATATATTTGAAAAAATAATGGAAAGATAAAAAAATTCCAACGCATACCATCACTGTAGGTCCAGGCTCCCTCCAGAAAACAAAGCACTGGCTTGAAGTACTTCGTGTAATCCCTCTTGGACTTGTCCTAAAAAAATAAAGGAATAAATATATTCATCAACTGATAGTTTGACTCAAACCATGTACTTTGCAATTTAAACAACATCTAGAACAAAGAGTCTTATAGTTAAAAGTGCATGTTCACAATAAACGTTTTTATTAAAAGAAAGGTCAAGTTATACCTTGATATATATATATATATATATATATATATATATATATATATATATATATATATATATATATATATATATACTGCCCTTTTCATGGAAAATGCCCTATCTCTTTGGTTGGATTCATATATATATATGACTACAGCACTGAATCCCACCAAAGAGATAGGGCATTTTCCATGAAAAGGGCAGTATGACAAGGAGCCGCAGAAACTGCGTTGGGCGCCATCAGATCAAATGGAAACCTTCTACCTTGTCACGGAGAGGGCCAGTTCGGATATACCAAGCAACACCAGCCATAAGTTCATGAAATAAATTTTTTTAACCCTCAAGAGACCGAGTGGGGTCATTTACGACCCCAGCCATATGATATAATGTGCCATCTCTTTATTTTTTATTCAAATTTTCTTTCCTTGCATGAGTTTGCCAGTCTTCTAATCCTACACACTTTCACAGTTTTTTGTATGGATCAACTAATTAGTGTGGCGTATACATCACAAACTCTTGTGGGGTCATTTATGACCCCAAAGAAAAGCATTGGTTTTTAAATATTAGTTTTTAAATTTTATTCAAATGTTTTGCCCACGCAACACTGACAAGGAAATGCCACATGCATGTGCTTCATGCAACCAGCCAGTGTGCTCAAAACATAGGCACGGATAAGTGGTTTGTGAAGATTAAGCTTGAAATGTTACTAATAGTGCATCGCTGAATCTAATTTCAGTGGCTTTGTTGGAACTTGTTCTCATAACCGGGTCTCTCATTTTGACGGTTACAATTTTCGGGTATTTTGGAAAACTAAAAACTGAAAACTGGAATTCTGGCGATATCATATTATACATATATTATCAAATTGTTTGTGTGGATTATGTTTTATACACAGATGTGGAAGTAACATACATGTTGGTTGATTGAATGTGTTCTGAGTAGTATGACTTCCTTACCAGCATTAGGGTATTCCCTACTCAGCAAGTCAGCTAATTATTCTCATTGAAGTTAGCAGGATGCTATCTCAACATAAGTCAAAATGTTTTTACTCAAAGTAATTTTGTAATGTTCTTTTTTCATTTAGTGTGGCAAATAAAAAGAGGAATAATTCTGCAAGTGAAAACTGACAAGGACTGTCTAAATACCGGTGTAATGTTGTTCTTAAAATCTGTGCTTCGTTATTTCATGTAATATAAGTATTATTACCAAATACTTTTTATATTAGATCATTATAAAATACTTGTCTTAAATCCTGGGAGTAGTATAGGTGTGATAAACCCTCAACAGCCTTTTATAATAAAGATCCCTGTACAGAGCACAATGGGGTCATAGATGACCCCACTTGGTCATTTCAGTCAGTAAAATAGCTGGGTCTCTTGAGGGTTAATGGGAAAAGCAATATCAGCCACGTGACCTTCCAGTGTGACGTTGTTGAGCACAACGATATCCAAAGGCGGTTCACACAGGGACTTTATGAGTTAAAGCTAACTCCCAAGAATAAGGGATCACTGAAACGTTCAAATGTGTAATTACTGGTGCGATTTCCATTTTAGCAATAGCAAATTTTGAGTTAAACATATTTGGCGAATAATTCTACCGAGAATTTTATCGTTTTTCTGCTTGAGATAAATTTCTGATAAGCCCACCGAGAAGATGGCATATTTTGATGAAATGCAGTGCATACGGAAGAAGACCATGTAACTATTTCTTCCTCTATATGTGGTTTACAAGTGTTATGACGAGGTGCTATACCTTGAAAGGTGCTGAATTAATTCAAGTTCGGTTGTTTTCAATGATAACACGTGACACCAGACAGGACCGTACATACGAAGTTAGCTATAGCTCAAGATCTGTGTCGAAATAAAGGATGAAGATCAACGATCATTTCTTCCCACGTCGGTATAAGGACATTTTATTAAAGAGAAAGGAAATAGTATTGACTAAGCAGATTTTATGCTAATGACCAGCAATATGCTTGTNTAATGTAAACTTTCTAATGTATACCGTATTTTTATGCAAAAGGTTATTTGCTAGGACCCACGAGAGCCCACATTCGTTCTCTCTACATCCCGATTGAGGGGCCCGGTCGTTGTCGTGTTGGACTGACGAGCCTCATCCGGGATTCGAACTCGTGACGTTGCATTACCATTGTTGGTGACGCTTTGGTTGCTTCATTTGCATCCATGCACGCTATCAACTGCTCCGTGACAGACCCGCCCACCCTCCGTATGTACGAGTTTCCTCTTATAGTAACTAAACGCAATTTTCAAAAATTAATTCTGGCAAAAAAGACACACAATATGTTCGGACTCGAACCAGCGTACGAGTGTCTGCCTGCATCCAAGACAGCAAAGTTTCCACGGAGCCATGGCAGCTTCGTTGCTACGACACGATCAGATGGAAATTTTCAATCTTGTCACGGAGAGGGCCAGAGCGGATGGACAGATCCCAATCAATAACCTGGGTGCCGTATTTCATCCCACGGAACCCCAGTCCCCCGACCATTGTCTATCATGAACGGTTAAGTTCATGATGTACAGAAAGCAGAGTTTCAGAACCCGACACGGAATTCGGAGTTTGTTTTATGCTAAGATTAAGTTAACCTATGATATTAAAGAGAACAACAAGATCAAATGTTGTTAACAACAGGCGTGTTTTACTTTTAGCGAGACCCTAAGAAGAGGGAGTTAAAAAAAACATTCCAATGGGTAATTCTACGAGGTGCTGTTTCACCGTTACAGCTGCTTTATCAATTTAAGTTCTATCGTCTTTCATTGATAGGCTTGCTCGAAACGTTCCTAGTTAGATGACTTCAGATGCATTTATTTTCCTTTTGTTTTGCACTGAGATAACGTTTGGTTTTATTTTTGACGTAACAGAGCACGATGAGATCCACAGCTGTTCACACCTCGGCGGTTTCAACAATGAGTAGTCTTTACTCTTTGAAATGTCGACTGCGAACTTGTCCCGGGTACTGTATGAACATATGAACAGTTTTGAGAAGCAAGGGCCCAAGATAGGAAAGGGGGGGGGGCATGAAAAGGCAAAATGTATGCCTGTTAAAAGCAACTGAGACAGCGCAACTTTTGTAAAAAAAAAAAAAAAAAAAAATTCTCTCTGATAAGCCCACCGAGAAAATGGCATATTTTGATGAAATGCAGTGCATAAGGAAGACCGTGACACCGGAGAGGACCGTAGATACGAAGTTAGCTATAGCTCAAGATCTGTGTCGTCATAAAGGACGAAGATCAACGATCAGTTCTTCCCACGTCAGTATAAGACTTTTAATTAAAGAAAAAGGAAATATTATTGACTTCGCAAATTTTATGCTTATGACCAGCAATATGTTTGTTTTAAATCGATCACTTAATGAAAACTTTCTAAAGTATACCATATTTTAATGCAAAAGGTAATTGGCTAGGACCCACGAGAGCCCACACTCGTTCTCTCTACATCCCGATTGAGGGGCCCGGTCGTTGTCGTGTTGGACTGACGTGCCTCATCCGAGGTTCGAACTCGTGACTTTGCGAGACCACGGTTGCTTAATTTGCGTCCATGCACGCGACCGTCTGCGCCGTGACAGACCCGCCCACCCTCTATACGTACGAATTTCCTCTTATAGTAACCAATCGCAATTTTCAAAATTCAATTCCGGCAAAAATAATACAAACAATATGTTCAGACTCGAACCAGCATACGAGTGTCTGTCTGTATCCAGGACAGCAACGTTACCACGGAGCCATGGCAGCTTCGTTAATACGATACGATCAGATGGAAACTTTCAATCTTGTCACGGAGAGGGCCAGAGCGGATGGACATAGCCCTATCGATAATCCGGGTGCCGTATTTCATCCCACGCAACCCCAGTCCCCGACCATTTTCTATCATGAACGGTAAAGTTCATGATGTACAGAAAGCAGAGTTTGTGAACGCGACACGGAGCTTAGAGTTTGTTTTATACTAAGATTAAGTTTACCTATGATATTAAAGAGAACAACGGGATCAAAGGCTGTTAACAACAGCAGTATGACGAAGACCATGTAGCTATTTCTTCCGCTATACATGGTTTACAAGTGTTATGATGAGGTGCTATACCTTTGCTCTTGTTGTGGTGGTCTCGAACTCGTGACCGTTCGTTACCATGGTTTCTGACAGCCTTGGGATTT